GCAGCAGCAGCAGCAGCAGCAGCAGCAAGAAGAGCAGCAGCAAACTGAGTTTTGGGAGAACTTTGTGATGGGTTTGTCTTCCATAAAAGTCCACACAAAAACTTTGCTGCCGCCCACCCACAGAGACTACAGAATTCAGCAGGTGCGGGAGCTGCAGCAATTAATTAAATTAATTAATTGAATTTAATTAATTTAATTAATTTAATTGATTTAATTATTTTAATTATTTCAATTCATTCAAATTAATTTAATTAGTTTAATTAAATTAATTCTTCTGGCTTTTGTTGAATTCATTCATTCAATTTGCTCGTTGCGCAACGTGTCGCTCCCTGCTGCTGCTGCTGCTGCTGCTGCAGGAGCTGCTGGAGATAGAAAGACAGCAGCAGCAGCTGCTGCAGCAGCACGAGCAGCACCTGGTGCGCCGCCGCGAGCAGCAGCAGCACCACCGCCACCATCCGCAGCAGCAGCAGCAAAACACCCAGCAGCAGCAGCAAAGCGACCAGCAGCAGCAGCAAAGCGACCAGCAGCAGCAGCAGCAGCGGGACAACCAGCAGCAGCAGCAGCAGCAGCAGCAGCAGCCGCAGCCGCTGTTTACGGTGTACGTACACCCGGGAAACATGCGGGAGTGGCTGGTGTATCTCCACCTGCCAGCAAAAAGCATTTATAAAAATAAAAACTTTTTGCTGCGGCTGCTGCTGCCGCAGCAGTTTCCCTTCAAGCCGCCTTTGCTGCACTTTCTTAAACCAAGTGGGAATTAAATTAAATCAAATTGAATTAAACTAAACTAAATTAAATTAAATTAAATTAATTTGTTTTATTTAATTTGATTTAACTTAATTTGTTTTAGTTTGGTTTGGTTTGGTTTTGTTTGGTTTCGTTTTGCTGCTGCTGCTGCTGCAGCAGCAGCAGCAATTTCCCTTGAAACCTCCTTTGCTGCACGTTCTTAAACCTATTAGTCGGTCGAATTCTTCTGCTTTGTTTTGTTTTGATTTATTTAATTATTTTTATTTTAATTCACTTTGTTTTATTATTTTTTCTATTTTATTATTCATATTGTTCAATTGTTTCATTTCGTTTAATCCTTTTCTATTCCCTTTTAAACCCCTTTCATCTCCTTCTGCTTCTGCTGCTGCTGCTGCTTCTGCTGCTGCTGCTGCTTCTGCTGCTGCTGCTGCTTCTGCTGCTGCTGCTGCTTCTGCCCCTGCTGCTTCTGCTTCTGCTGCTTCTGCTGCTGCTGCTGCTTCTGCTGCTGCTGCTTCTGCTGCTGCTGCTTCTGCTGCTGCTGCTTCTGCTGCTGCTGCTGCTGCTGCTGCTGCTGCAGTCCCCGTGCACCCGCACGTGTACAGCAACGGCTCGATTTGTTTGAACTTGTTGGGAAAAGATTGGCATCCTTCTTTGTCTCTTTTCAAGTTGCTGCTGAGTCTCTTCAGCATGTTGAACGAAAACAAAAAACACAAACCCCCCCTCGACGACTTCCTCCGTAGGGTTTAGGGTTTAGGGTTTACGGTTTTGGGTGCAGGGTGTAGGGTTAGGGTTTAGGGTTTTGGGTTTAGGGTTTTGGGTTTGGCGCTAGGGGTTAGGGTTTCGGGCTTTGGGTTTGGGGTTCGGGATTAGGGCTTAGGGCTTAGGGCTTAGGGTTTTGGGTTTTGGGTTTTGGGTTTAGGGTTCAGGGTTTGGGGGTTTATAGAGGTTGGGGTTTAGGGTTTATGGGTTAGGGTTTAGAGCTTAGGGTTTGTGGGTTAGGGCTTTCGGGGGTTAGGGTTTGGGGGGATTAGGGTTTGTGGGTTTCGCAGGAATTAGGGGTTAGGATTTAAGGGGTTTAGTGGAATTAGGGTTTAGGGTTTAGGGTTTAGGGATTTTGTCACGATGGGGTTCAGGGTTCAGGGTTTAGGGTTTGGGGGAGACGGACAAGGGATTTGGGAGGGCTTAAGGGTTTAGGGTTTAAGGGAGAGGGTTTAGGTTTTAGGGATTGTGTCTTTTTGAATCTTGTGTGTACTTCTCGGGTCCTAGGGTTTAGGGTTTAGGGTTTAGGGTTAACTACGTACAATGAACTAATTAGTTAATTAAATGAATAAATGGTATTGAATAAATTAATTAATGCTAGTTGTTTGTAAATAGATAACAGTCAAACCCTAAAAGAGTGTTTAATTCAATTTTATTTATTTTGTCGTTTGCTGCTGCTGCTTAGATGCTGCTGCTCCTCCTGGCTCTACAGATGTTGAATATATATATCATGATGATGACCTATAAGCTGCTGCTGCTGCTGCTGCAGCAGCAGCAGCAGCAATGGGAGCGGCAGTGCAGCGGCAACAATGGCAACAGCAACAGCAGCAGCAGCGGCTGCTGAGACGCATCGTGCAGCAGCAGTAGCAGCAGCAGCAGTGAGGGAGTCAACAGATTTAGAGCAGGAGCTTGCTGCTGCAACAAAGGCAGCAACAACTGCAGTAACAGCTGCAGCAGCAACTGCAGTAACAGCTGCAGCAACACCTGCAGCTGCAACAGCAACTGCAGCAGCAGCAGCAGCAATAGCAGAAGCCACAACACCAGCATGCAGTTTCTTGCTGCTGTTTTGGAGAAGGGATGCTGCAGAGTCTGCGCATTCCCAAACCCTAAACCCTAAACCCTAAACCCTTTTGGTTCATTTTAATGGATACATACACTGGCGAAATGGTAGCACCTGCTGCCACAGCAGCAACAACAAAAGCCTTCTACAGCAGCTGCTGCAGCTGCTGCTGCAGCTGCTGCTGCAACGGCAGCAGCAGCAAACGAGGAGCAAAAAGGTCGAAAGTTAATGGGTCGAAGAACAACAACAAATAAATAAAATGAAAAAGCAAATAATAAAAATTAAATTAAAAATAATACAAATTAATTAAAATTCTTTTATTTATCTTTTCAAAAGTGGTGCCTGCACTTGTGCAGCAGCTCCGCTCATTTAAAATGGACTGCTGCTGCTGTTGCTGCTGCTGCTGCCTTTGTTGCAGCAGCAACTGCTGCTACTGCTGCTGCTTCAAGCTGAGAGCATTGGCAGTGCTGCTGCCGCAGCAAGTAGCGAATATGAATCTAAGAATTTCGAGCGAATTGCTGTTGCTTCTGCTGCTGCCTTTGCTGCTGCTGCTGCTGCTGCTGGAGAGTTTCTTACCACGGATGAGCTAAGGAAAAGTGAAGCAGCAGAAGTGCTGCTGATGCCGGAGCAGCAGCAGCAACAGCGCCGGCAGCATTAAAGGCAGCAGCAGCAGCAGAGCAACAGCAGCAGCAGAAAAAGCATGTATCCCCAAGCAGCAGCGGCGGAAAAAGTGAGAAGAGCGGGAGCAGCAGCAAGAAAAACGATGCCAATGGGATTAGCATCAGCAGCAGCAGCAGCAGAGCCAGCAGCAGCAGCAGACCCAGCAATAGTAGAAGCAGCAACAGTAGCAGCAGCAGCAATAACAGCAGTGGCAGCAGCAGCAATCCCTCTCTATAGTTTCTTGTCTGTACATTTGTTGAGCTGGAAACTTGGAGTATAAGGCCCGCTGCAAACCCTAAACCCTAAACCCTAATTCAAGTCCTTAGGGCCATTGCATTGGTCCAACTTTTACGTACGGCTCAAACAGCTGCAAACGCTAAACCCTAAGCCCTAAATTCTAAACCCTAATTCAGGGGTTTAGCGTTTAGGGTTTGCGTGCAGCTGAGCGGCTCAGTGGAATTGGGGTGTATAGGCAGCCCTCGACTGCAGCAACAGCAGCCGCAGCAGCAAGGAGAAAGAAAGAAAAGAAAATAGAAGAATATTTTGAATTTAAATTAATTTAAATTAATTATTTCAAATTAATTTATATTTAGAAGAAAGAAAGTCGCATCTGCAGCCCCCCAGCACCCATTGGTCGTCCATGCAGACCACTGGGACCCCCAGAGGTCACCTAAACCCTAAACCCTAAACCCTAAAAGCAAAACCCTAGGCCCTAAACCGCAAACCCTGGGCCTAAAATCTAAAAAGGTGGATTGAAATTGTGTTTTTGTTATTTTTGGCCCTCAAAAGCTTGGCCTTAAACCCCCAATGTGAAACCCTAAACCCTAAACCCTAACCCTATGCTGCAGCTGGGGTGTATATCCAAGCAAGCCTGGTGTTCGTCAACGCCAGCAGTTCCAAACCCTAAACCCTAAACCCTAAACCCTAAACCCTAGGCCCTAAACCCTAGGGTTTGTTCGTGTCTCGCTGAGGGTTTATTTCTTTCTTCAGAATTCATGTCGCCATCTATTTGTCTTTGTCAATTATTTAAACTTCTCCGTTTGAACTTTTGTCTCTTTCACTTCTTTTCGGTGTCATTGCTGCTGCTGCTGCTGCTGCTGCAGCTGCTGCTGCCTGCATGCGGGCAGCAGCTGGGCTCAGGTGTGCAGACACCTGAGCTCAGCGTGCAGCAGCAGCAGGCGCTGCAGCAGCAGCAGGTGCTGCAGCAGCAGCAGGTGCTGCAGCAGCAGCAGGCGCTGCAGCAGCAGCAGGTGCTGCAGCAGCTGCAGCATCTTCAGCAGCTGCAGCAGCACTACGGATTCCCTTTCTCTCCTGCTGCTACTTATTTTGCTGACCAAGGAGACACTTTATATTCAGCTCTTCCTATCGAGACCTACACTGCATTACCTGCTGCTGCTGCTGCTGCTGCAGCCCAGGCAGCAGCAACAGACGTAGCCAATGCTGCCACTGCAGCAGCAACGGATGCTGCGCAGGCAGCAACGAGCGCAGCAACAGAAGCAGCAGCAGCAGCGCAGCAGCTGCTCGCAAGGGCCGCAGCAACAGCAGCAGCAGCAAATGTTCCCGGCGGCGCTTCCTCCTTGACCCCCCCGCTGACTTCCCAGCAGCAGCAGCAGCAGCAGCAGCACCTGCACCTGCTGCAGCAGCTGCTGAAGCAGCTGCCGCACCCGCTACAGCAGCTGCAGCAGTCCCACTTGCTGCAGGGGCTGTCGCCGCAGCAGAAGCAGCAGCTGCAGCAGCAGCAACAGTACCTGCTGCCGCTGCTTGCGTCTCGGCTGCTGCCTGGCGGCGGAGGCGAGGGCCCCGCGGCGCCGGGAGCAGCAGCAGCAGCAGCAGCAGCAGCAGCAGCAGCAGCAGCAGTCTCGCAGCTGGCCTCGCCGCAGCAGTACGTCCAGGCCCTGCACGCAGCACTTCTCGCCACTTATAATGCTTCTGAAAAGACAAGAGAAGCAGCAAATGAGTTTATTGTTTATAGACAAACTCACCCAAACGATGGCTGGGTGGAAGCCTTAAATGCTTTTGAAAACGCGGCCAAGGAGCTGCGGCAGCAGCAGCAGCAGCAGCAGCAGCAGCAACAGCCGCAGCAGCCGCAGCTGATCGAGCAGCTCCAGAAGGAGCAGGAGCAGCAGCAGCAGAAGCTGCAGCAGCAGCAGAAGCTGCAGCAGCAGCGGCAGGCGGACCCGCAGCGTGTGGAGCAGCAGCGACAGCAGCAGGAGCAAGTGCTGCAGCAGCAGCTGCAGCAGCAGCTGCAGCTCCAGCAACTCATGCACCAGCAGCAGCAGCAACAGCTCCAGCAGCTGCAGCAGCAGCGCCAACAGCAGCAGCAGCAGCTGCCCCACACGCAGGACCAGCAGCAGCAACTGCTCCAGTACCAACTGCTCCAGCAGCAACTCTACCTCCAGCAGCAGCGACAGCAGCAGCTGCTGCAGCAGCAACTGCAGCAGCAGCAGCCCCAGCAACAACTGCAGCCGCAGCAAACGCAGCAACCGTACCAAACACCGCAGCAGCAACAGCTGCTGCCGCAGCAACTGACTCCGCAGCAACTGCAGCAGCAGGTGGAAATGCAGCTGCAGCATCGGTTGTATCTGCAGCAGCAGCAGCGGCAGAAGCAACTGGAGCAGCAACTCCAGCAGCAACTCCAGCAGCAACTCCAGCAAAAGCAGCAGGAAATGAAGCAGAAGCAGCAGCAGGAGCTGCAACAGCAGCAAGAGCTGCAGCAGCAGAGACTGCAGCAGCAACAGCAGCAGATTCAGGAGCAACTGAAGCAGCAGCAGCAGCAGGAATTGCTTCAGCAACAGCAGCTCAGTGAACAGCTGATGCAGCAGCAGCGGCAGCAGGAGCTGCAGCAGCAGAGGGCCAAGCAGCAGCAGGAGCTGCTGCAACAAAAACAACTTCAGGAGCAACTGAGGCAGCAGCATCAACAGCAGCTGCAACAGCAACAACTGCAGCAGCAGCAGCAGGAAGAACAGCAACAGCGTCTGCAGCAGCAGCTGAAGCAGCAGCAGGAAAAGCAGCAACAAGAACGCCTTCAGGAGCAACTGAAACAGCAGCAGCAGCAGCGGGATTGGCAGCAGCAGCTGCTGCAAAAGCAACTGGAACAGCAGCAGCAGGAGCTGGAGCAGCAAGCGGTGCCTCGAGAGCAGCTGAAACAGCAGCAGCAGGAGCAGCAGCAGGAGCAGC